GAGTCTGAAGAAATTGTTGGCCAACTTTTTCGTGCTATCATATTCTGTCACGTTTTATATCAGTGCTCCAGTTTTGGGGAACTCCTAGCTGATGTTCAGCAATTATCTTTGTCTTAAGAATCTACCAACTTCCCTGGAGGCTTAAGTTTTTCTATTAACACAAGCTTTTACTCAAGAGAGACTACAGTTTGGCAAGTCTGCCTCCAGGACAAGCCTGTGGTTGCTTACCAAAGCCTGTCTGGTGGTCTTTGCAGCAAAGGCACGGCGGGCAGCTTGTTCTTCACAAAACTTGATGTGCCTCTGTGCTGCAGCCTCGTTAAATCTTCGGGAGCAGTGTGGACACTGAATATAGTCTGATCACAAGAAAGGAACAACTTGTGTCACAGCTCATACGCTACAGGAGGAGAATTGCCCTGCTTTACTGGAGCACCTGAGATGTAGCTCAAAACCTGGCTCCATCAGCAGGTGATGGTGGCGAGTTCCCATAGTACAAACTTAGGAGAACTACAAAAACTTCCTCTAGCAAAGCACTTGGGATCCCAAAATATGTACTTATGGTATTAGCCCAGCAAACAGTAATTGCTTCCAGAAAGAAAGCCCTGGAGATTAATAAAAGCAGATTTTATTATCTTTGTCCTATTCCCACTGCCACCCTCACGATTAACGTACCTGCAGAAAAAGCGATGTTTGGAAATTCCTTGAGTAGCCTAAACCAGTGATTTTAAGACTACTTTGGTTATTAAGATTGTCAGGCATTTTTGCAAAATCCATTTCCTCTGGACATTGACCCAATACTGCTTCAGAAGTTGTGCCTCAGCTGGTGGGGCCGCATCCAAGAGCCAGGTCTCTGCGTGTGAAGCGGCATGGTGAAGGACACGCAGCAGTGCCTCCTGGAGTTGTTTTTCAAGGTGTTGTAGTCCTGATTCTGCTGAAAGCTGCTCAGCTACGTGCATCACTGGTGCAGTCCTACTCGTTTCAATGAGTGGTTGGTGTCAGGGGTCAACGCAGTCACGTTCAGCCCTCGCACCACGGCCCTTGCTGTCCTCACACCCTTCCTCGCCGCTCCAAGTCTTTTACAAAAGCAGCTCAAGTGTCCTTATCCTATTAGTACAGGTATAGCAGCTTTACAAATCGTTTCTCCTAGTAACAGTCCAGAAAAGGTGGCCCAAGCAGCCACCTAAAGCCAGCCCCAGACCAGCAGCCTGGGCAAAATCACAGAATCATAGAATGGTTAGGGCTGGAAGGGACCTTCAAAGGTCATCTAGTCCAACCCCCCTGCAAGGAACAGGGATATCTCCAACTAGATCAGGTTGCTCAGGGCCTCGTCCAACCTGGCCTTGAACGTCTCCAGGGATGGAGCATTCACCACCTCTCTGGGCAACCTGTGCCAGTGTTCTACAACTCTCATGGTAAAAAATTTTTTCCTAATATCCAATCTGAATCTACCTCCCTCTATTTTAAAACCATTACCCCTTGTCCTATCACAACTGGCCCTCCTGAACAGCCTCTCGCCATCTTTCTTGTAGGCCCCCTTGAGGTACTGGAAGACCGCTATAAGGTCACCCCGGAGCCTCCTCTTCTCCAGGCTGAACAGCCCCAACTCTTTCAGCCTGTCCTCATAGGAAAGGTGCTCCAGCCCAGAAATGGTTCTGAAGGCAAGGGAGGGGAGGGAAGGACAAGACAGGATGGATGCCTGGCTTTGGAGGGCAGGCAGGGGGACCTGGCACTTTGGGGGAGAACAGGGAGCTTTGGGCTCTAGTTCTAGGAGGAAGAAAGGGAAGGGCCATCTCTCTCCCTCCTTCCACAATCCATGTACTTTCTCTCCAGTCCTGTAGTGTGGAGCACACAGCCTCACTAAGCCCCTCAGCAATTTGTCTTTCCTTAAAAGCAGTTCTCCAATTTCTGTCTGCACAAGTGCCGCTGCTCTTGCACAACTTGGTTTCCTCCAAGAGGGAGAAGGAAAGGGAGGGGACTGCTCTTAGAGTCAGACAAGGAATAACAGAGTCACTAAAGAATTCGGCAGTGGAAATTCAGAGAGGAGCTTGACCCCAATCAAGGAAGGAAGATGTGTCCTGCTGCTTACACCACATCGCTGTCATCTAGAAGAGGAGAAAGGCTGGAATCACGGCAGCTGGTTTTGCTATCCGTCACGAATTCCTGCTCTGGAAGTGAGCCCAGAGAGCCCCCCCTTCTCCCTCCCCTCCTCCTTCCTAACGCAGGCAAGACTCCACCGAGACCCTTTCCAAAATCGCTCCCACGTTTCATAAACCACATTCCATGAGAAATACTGGCGGTATGTGCATTTTTTCGGATCCATAACTTCTAACACAGTGAGCTCTGCGCAGAGACCACACCTGGTGTCAGCAGCAAACCATACCGGTCGTTTTCCGACTTCTCCAAACTACCCAGGCGAAGGGGGCAGTGTCTAATATCAGCCCCCAAACTTGTTGCCTTAAAACTTAAAAGGTACAGTTAGTTTTCTCTTCCTTCCCACCACCTCTGCATTGCACTCCTGCTCGATTTAAGCCAATAGATATGGCTGAAAATTAGAGATTACGGAGGGAATTAATGTTCACGCCGTGCTGTGCCGCGGGGTGCAAAACTGGAGCCCAGCTGCAGCTGATGAGGGGTCACAACCATCAGTGCAAGAACGTTTTTAAGATAAAGTAGACGACAAACCTGGATTGATGCTTGGTGGGGGAGGAGGTGGAAGAGGGCGGCCCTCCTTTAGAGCTTTTGTGACCTGTTTGGCTGATTGAATAGTATTAATAAAATCCTCATGGTGCTGCCTCCAGTTAGATTTCTTCCCTGGCTGTTTCTGTAATGGAAAAAGAAAAGGAAGACACAAACTGTATTTCCCCCTCGCAAGGGACAGAGAGAAATCTTAGAGTGAGGGTTCTTCCTTTCTGAGGGAAAGGAAAAACGTTACAAACAAAAGAAATTTGCTTTTTTTGAACGGCATAAGAAAGCTGATGTAGCCCTTTGCCGTCTATCGACAGCACCAGAAGATGGATAAAAGCACAATGCCCTCCAACAAAACACTGCGGTCACGGCAGACCAAAGGGTCCTTAAGAGAGAGTAGAACAGACACTATGACCAACACCTCCCCTTCTCCACCACTTGTCAGATCTTCTTCTTGCTTTGAACCTCGGTGCGCTCATGTTTCCTTCCACAACTGATTTTAAAGGACATTTTACACTGGCAGTCTGCATGGATATCAAATCAGTAGTGATTTGGCATCTCTGGGTAAAGTTATGCACATGCATGCCCATGTGTATTCCCTTCCGCCCCAACAATGTGTGGGAAAAAAACTTGTTCCAGTAAGAGCTGAAGCCTCTTCCCCTCCAGCTCTGTAAATAAGTTCAATTTAAATACATTTTTAAACCCTTAAGTTCAACAGCAGTGAATGTCTGTAGCTTCATTCGTGGAAGATTTGGGGCTACTGACAGCTCTCAGGTTCACAGAATCCCAGAATGTCAGGGATTGGAAGGGACCTCAAAGGAGCATCTAGTCCAATCCCCCTGCCGGAGCAGGACCACCTAGATCAGATCACACCAGAACGTGTCCAGGCGGGTTTGGAACATCTCCAGAGAAGGAGACTCCACAACCTCTCTGGGCAGCCTGTTCCAGTGTTCTGTTCCCCTTACTGGGAAGAAGTTCTTCCTCATGTTTAAGTGGAACCTCCTATGTTCCAGCTTATATCCATTTGCCCTTGTCCTGTCATTGGATGCCACTGAGAAGAGCCTGGCTCCATCCTCATGACAGTCACCCTTTACACATTTGTAAACATGAATGAGGTCCCCCCTCAGTCTCCTCTTCTCCAAGCTAAAGAGACCCAGCTCCCTCAGCCGTTCCTCATTAGGGAGATGCTCCACTCCCTTCATCATCTTTGTGGCCCTGCGCTGGACTCTCTCCAGCAGTTCCTTGTCCTTCTTGCACTGAGGGGCCCAGAACTGGACACAAGATTCCAGATGTGGCCTCACCAGGGCAGAGTAGAGGGGGAGGAGAACCTCTCTCGACCTACTCACCACACCCCTTCTCATACACCCCAGGATTCCAGTGGCCTTCTTGGCCACAAGGGCACATTGCTGGCTCATGGCCATCCTGCTGTCCACCAGCACCCCCAGGTCCCTTTCCCCTGTGCTGTTCCCCAACAGTTCAGTCCCTAACCTGGGGTGTTCATGCACCAACCATCTCGGCTCACGCTCTCTTTCAGGTTTAAGCGAAGAGGAAGCTGTCAGAGACTTGCATAGTCGTCAAAATACCTACATGGACCTTTCCTGGAAGAGCAGACACTTGTGTGCCCAGGGTAGTCAGGACACCTACCGCTTTGACTTCTGAACGGAGAAACGTTCTCAAACACTACCAGCACAGGGAGGGGGAGGAAAGAATTTGGCACCGAGTCAAGCACATGTGTGGGACTCATCCGCAACATCCAGGCTTTGCCCCCAAAGGAAACAAGAGCGTTACTGAACGAAAGGCTTCGTACGGAGATAACCTACGGGCTCCAATCTGAACCACACCTCGTGCGAGGGCTGCTTCTGCACGGCGACGATTTCCGTTCCCCGCAGCCTCTGCCGCTCAGAGCTGAAGGGCTGGCGCCTCTTGTTGAAGACCTTCTTGCATATTGGATCATGTCTCAGCTGGGATGCAAAGGAAAACAGCCGTTTATGGGTCGAAGTCAGGCTTTGTTAGGGATGCTTCCTTACCCAGGCGTTAAAATTCCTTCTATTCAAGAGCAGGGAGCTGAAGCAGTATTTATTGCAGGTTCGGTTTAACTCCTGAAGGAGTTCAGCAAAACTTTAAAAAGCTGCCCAAGCACAGCTGCAGTTTGACACAAGTAAGACAGGGAAGCCATTTCCAGTTCGTTCTGCTCAGCGACATGTGGAGTTGAGCACAAATAATGACTTGCAGAGAAGAAAAGGGATAGTCTGTGAACAGGGACAGTCCCGTTGGACTTCTCCCCCCTCCCTGGTTTTCTTTCTTGCTTGGTTAAGGGAGAGAACAGGCTGATCCCGTTCATGGGATCAATATTTACATTTTTAGCTCTTTGAGTTTAGGTAAGTATTCCAGACTGTGGGACCTATTTGAGCCCATCTGCAGCTTGCTCTCCCTTTCATGTTCTCAGTTATTCTTCTTGATCTTCTCATGAATTTCTCTGTGCCATCCCACTCTCTTACTGCAGGAGTTACGCAGCTGCCTGATTGAGGCATTTTGGTCACAGCCCAGCTGGGCCAAGCAGCACCTCCCTCTGCCACAACACACATTTCTACCTTCTTGTTTCCCTTCGAACCTTTCTACTCATGCTTTTCAGGTCCTTATCTTCTGTTTCTAGATGTTTTTGACAGCAAACTGGAGAGGAGAATTCCTCTGCAGGGCCAAGAGGGCAGCAGGTGTCTCGCTCACCAAAGAGCACACCAGTCCTGCATCATGGAGGCATGGAGAGGCACTACAGGACTTGTATCTCACACAAGTCATAGTGACGAGAAACTTCCTGCCTCTCTGAAATCATAGGTAGCTGTCTTTTCCAAGGGTTTTGCTAGATTAAACCGTTGTGTTCTTCACGTATCTGATCTGAGATACCAAACATGGAACTACTAACTTGGGGTAGTTCCCCCTTTGTAACTGGTGCCATAGTTACTCAGCACCCAGTGTTTTTATTTTATTTTATTTTACAGAATCATAGAATGGTTTGGGTTGGAAGGGCCCTCAAAGATCATCTAGTTCCAAACCCCCTGCCATGGGCAGGGACACCCTCCACTACACCAGGTTGCCCAAAGCCTCATCCAACCTGGCCTTGAACACTTCCAGGGATGGGGCAGCCACAGCTTCTCTGGGCAACCTGTGCCAGTGCCTCACCACCCTCAATGTAAAGAATTTCTTTCTTACATCTAACCTAAATCTCCCCTCTTTCAGTTTAAAGCCATTGCCCCTTGTCCTATCACTACATGCCCTTGGAAAACGCCCCTCTCCAGCTTTCCTGTAGCCCCTTTAGGTACTGGAAGGCTGCAATAAGATCACCCCGGAGCCTTCTCTTCTCCAGGCTGAACAGCCCCAACTCTCTCAGCCTGGCTCCAGAGCAGAGGTGCTCCAGCCCTCGGATCATCTTCGTGGCCTCCTCTGGCCCCGCTCCAGCAGCTCCATGTCCTTCTTGTGTTGGGGACCCCAGAGCTGAACACAGTATTCCAGGTGGGGTCTCACAAGAGTTGAGTAGAGGGGCAGAATCACTTCCCTCGACCTGCTGCCCACGCTCCTTTTGATACAGCCCAGGATTTTATTTTATTTTTTACTAAATCAGTTTCTAGTTCTATCACGGGGCAGATCTGATCTACCACAGAGCCACAGGACCAGTAATGCAAACCGAGGGGGGGAGGGGTGCGTGCAGAGCCCCCCCGCGACCCTTGCAGGAAACCCCCCAGTCGGGTTGTGCCAGGCAAACTGGGCAGCCACCATTTAGTTTGTAACCCAGGGATCAGGGAGGTCAGGGGGAACCTTTTCATTCACTTCAGGTTTGGAACAGAGCCTGGTGCCCGCGTTGTGCTGTCAAAAGGACTACTTGTATCAGCTGGGTTATTACTCTATTTTTCCCAGGAAGCTTGAAATAACAAATTCTGCCTAGAAACCTGGAACACGAAGCTTCAAGTTCGTAATTTACATCTCACCGAGAGATAATACATTATTTTAAATGCAATATACAGTAAACATCTGGTTTTGGACAAGCAGGTAAGTTAAGGGTTGTAGAACACTGGCACAGGTTGCCCAGAGAGGTGGTGGATGCTCCATCCCTGGAGATGTTCAAGGCCAGGTTGGATGAGGCCCTGAGCAACCTGATCTAGTTGGAGATATCCCTGTTCCTTGCAGGGGGTTGGACTAGATGACCTTTGAAGGTCCCTTCCAGCCCTAACCATTCTATGATTCTATGATTCTAAGACAGTACAAGACTGCAGATTAAGTCACGATATTTCTGTGCGCGTTCATTCGCTAATCAAGCTCACTAATGAAAGCAGTTATTAGATCATTTGCTCTGTTAAACACGTGGTCAACCCATTTCTCTACCAGCAGCCGCCGTCTCCTTCCCCAGTGCTCACCACCCCTTTCAGCTAAACGCATTGACATTCCCATTAAAGTAAAAATAAAAAAAAAAGAATTAAGTTTTGTTTTACCAGAACATCCTGTGCAAAACGTCTTCCGCAGGTGGTACAAGGAGCCAGATCTGGACGTGGGGCAGCTGTGTAAAATTCAAAAATCCAAACAAGAGGAAATGGGTATAAGCTTAGTCAGGGGAGATTCAGGTTGGATGTTAGGAAGTATTTCTTCTCTGAAAGGGTTGTCAGCCACTGGAATAGGCTGCCCGGGGAGGTGGTTGAGTCCCCATCCCTGGATGTGTTTAAGAATAGGGTGGATGATCTACTTGAGGATATGGTTTAATGGGGATTAGGGATGGTTGGACTCGATGATCTCTGAGGTCTTTTCCAACCTAGAAATCTATGAAATGAAATCTATGAAACCACGCAAGGGTGTTAGTTACGCAGTGCGGGACGGCTCGACGACAGCGTCAGCGTTCGGACTGAGCCTTTGCCGAACGGAATTCCGTGGTCAGAAAGGGATGTCTACAGCCACGCGCCAGGGCTCCCTTTCACAGAATTCCATCTTTCCTGCGAAGCACGAGCTCTCCTTCCCAACGAGGGACAGCTTTTTGTTTCCCACGTGACTCTGCAGGTATGTCCCTTCCCAACGGCACCGTGGTTGGGAGAGGAGATGATGGAAGAGCACTCGGGTTCGTCACCGCCTAAATTCTGGGAGGGAGGCTGGAAAGCAAGAGCGGGCAGTCTGCAGCACCCGGATTTATTCCATTTTGTTTGTAAATCACCAGGAGCTAGCGATGCCCAGTAACGGCTCAGGGTAAACTGGTGCCGTTGCAGAACGTGGCACGCTGACACTGAATCTTCGCTCCTAGGACAGCACGTTTCCAAGGTGTGCTAACCTGCATTCCAAGATGATCTTACTTTGTAGATGTAAATTTGTCAGGATTTTTTTTTTTTGTTTTAAATTAGTAATTTTTTTAAAAAATAGGTTTTAAAGTTACACAGGAAGTAGATTTAAGCCTGCCTCCAACGGCAGTCATAAAGTCTCACTTCAGAGCAGGGACATTGCTTGCATTTAAAACAGGTTTCTCTTAGGAAAACCTGGAACAATAACAAAGACCCCTTGTCATGAGACTTGTGACCTGCAGAGGGAAAGACTTTTCACTTAAGTGTTCCCTACTTGCTCTTGCTGAAACAAGAGAAATCCTTGTCTTGCTGAGCAGAAGCAGACCTGGGACTGCTTTTGTTTCTTACCTTTTCCTTCAGGTTTTACCCAACTCCAAGTTAAGGTCGCTACAGTGTTCCATTGATCGCAAGCATAGAGGAACAAAGCAATTCTCTAAGCTTTTTATTTTATTGCCTCTGGTTTAAATGTCTTTCCACTTTTGTTCCCATGCAACATCTTTCTGTGTGTCTGTGCTTAGTCTGGACGATACTCTTCCTTTCACGTATCTTCCTCTGCCTCCTCCATCTCTTTTATTCTGTTCTCATCCCCTCAAGGTTTTGACTGATACAGCTTAATTTTTTTTTTTTTTAAAAGGAATTTTGGTAGAAGCACAGTATCATAGAATCATAGAATGGTCTGAGTTGGAAGGGACCTCAAAGACCATCTAGTTCCAACCCCCCTGCCATGGGCAGGGACACCCTCCACTACACCAGGTTGCCCAAAGCCTCATCCAACCTGGCCTTGAACACTGCCAGGGATGGGGCAGCCACAACTTCTCTGGGCAACCTGTGCCAGTGCCTCACCACCCTCCAAGTGAAGAATTTCTTCCTTATATCCAATCTAAATCTCCCCTCTTTCAGTTTAAAGCCATTGCCCCTTGTCCTGTCACTACATGCCTTTGGAAAAAGTCCCTCTCCAGCAAAAGAGAAGTCAGGAAAACACAACTTGCAACAGAGTATTAGTCACTTTAGACACGTTCAACAGCAGCTGAGTTAAGGACTAGAAAAGAACACATGCACTGTCCTTAGTAATTTCCTTTTCAGCCAATCACAAAATCACGTTCCACTCAAACCACCGAACAGCACCTGTTACTCACTTGTTCTATTTAACTCCTCTCCTGGTATCTGACTCATCTCAACAGAACAGTTTCTCGAATTTCCTCTCCTGAGTTGTTGTCAGGAGTCCTGAGTACTGGGTGGTCAGTCTTCATTACTCGAAACTCACAATTCAAGTCACCACGCATCAGCGATTACATCATCAGCAATTATGACACAGGCAGACCCTGCTTACGCCTGTGAAACACATGAAAACTAGTGCAGGTATCAGCTAAACAAAAACTCAGAAACTTTTTCTAAGCTTACAATTTCATAGAATCATGGAATGGTTTGTGTTGGAAGGGACCTCAAAGATCATCCAGTTCCAACCCCCCTGCCATGGACAGGGACACCCTCCACTACACCAGGTTGCCCAAAGCCTCATCCAACCTGGCCTTGAACACTTCCAGGGATGGGGCAGCCACAGCTTCTCTGGGCAACCTGTGCCAGTGCCTCACCACCCTCAGGGGGAAGAATTTCTTCCCTATATACAGTCTAAATCTGCCCTCTTTCAGTGGATACTAATTTCTACCAAATTTCTACTAATTTGGTTAACACAGACACCTGAACAATTTTAGAAAATGAAGGCTAATCTAGATATGAACACTGTACCGACACTTCAGTTTCCTGAGCAGTGATCAAGAGTCTTGTAGACTTAAAATGCTTGTTTATTCCCTTCTCCAGAACCATATTCCTTTGTCAATTAAAATGTATTAGAAAAGCCTTCTAATAAAACCAAGTATTTCAAATTATTTCTGTATATTAAGAGGCCTCCTCTGTCCTTCTGTTAGCTTGTCTCCATCTAGCGTTCAGAGAACTATTTAAGATGCTCTGAATTTAGCAGTAGTCAAGCCACTATGGATGTACAGGTTACTGTGTTCCTTACCAGTAAAGTGGTTAACTTTTCACCCAATGGCAGAAGACTGCTCAGTCCATAGTCCTAAAGACCTAATGCTGAAGGACTGACTACAAAACCTATCCATTTCATTCACACGTATGGACTGGTCACCATCAGAAAAACTCACATGCACAGTACAGAAACCGAAGGTCACACCAAACCTGAAGATACTGGCGCTCTGCTGATCTTCAGGAAGTCTTTGGGTCATAAGTTTGTATTTCAATGAAACCAAACTGGCTGCAAGACCTGAAGAACATTATTTCAGGAAAATCCAGACAAGGGCTATCTGCAACATACAATATTTTTCCAATTATCTGCTGTTTTGTTTGCCACGCTACTCAGACTGAGAAATTTCAGCAGTACCAGTAAGGGTCACTGACCACTGCAAGTGCAAGGTTCGTTGTGACAGGTTTTATTTGCTAAGAAATGTAAAAGTCAGGTTAGGTAGTTAGGTAACAGGGATGTCTACCTGCACAACAGCTTTTCAGACACCTCTGTTTACAATATAAATGGATACATTGCTTTGTAAACGGAAATAATTTAATAGGAAAATCTAATCAGATAAAATCTGTAGGATTCTGCTGATTTGTTGAATACCTTCAACAAATATATATATATTTTTAAAACTTTGTCCAGTGATAGCTTGTAAGAAAAATATTTTTTCATAACTTTAATACATTTCTACTGCAATGGAACTTTGCAACAGTTGCCATGTCACTCATGACAGAACAGACACCAGTAAAACATTGTTTTATGTGTAAGTTCATTTCAGAAAGAATGACAAGTTACTGGTTCTTGTTACAGTAATATCTGAACAATCCCCTTTGTGCATGACTGGCAAAGCTATGAGTTAGCAGTTCCCTTCTCAGTACAAATGAAAACTTAAGGATGTTTCCACAAGAAGTTCCTCAGATTCTTCAAGACAGCTTCAGTCCTTGAACGTTTTGTTTCAGATTGAGCAACTCTTTTTCTTGCCTTGTTTTCTCCATTTTGAAGGCTAGCTTATTGGCTTTCTTCTCCATCCTGCGTTCCTGTGCGTATGAATATTTACAGATTTACAAAACAGGCGTAACATGCAAAACCAAACCCCTCTGACAGTGCTAGGTCATGAAAACAGCATCAATCTGGACAATAATATTATTTATGGCACTAATTATTAGTAGTCCAATTAATATGTGCACCACCAGCATTATGATCTTTAATTAGCTGAAGCTTCTAATATGCCAGAAATTTCCTTTCCTAAATAAAACAACTAGGAAATCATTGTGGCCAATTGGATTTGCCACATTTCTTTTAGAGACTTTTCACTTTGTGTGACCTGAAACATCACAACTGTTTTCTTTGCTTCCCTAGACAATAAAGAAATAGGAGGGCTCCTTCTGAAGTTATGTACGTAATAGTGGCCATGATAACAGACCAAAATTTCCATATAGGAAATCAAGATGATGAAATTAGGAGGTTAACTTTCTTTCTAGTAGATTTTTTTTTTTTAAAAAAAAAGAAGCAATAATTAGTCCTTTGGGCCAGTTTCATCCATTAATTTCCAGACACAAGAACAGACGAGCTTTAAAACGAGTTCGTAAGACTGAACTCAGACAACATAATATGTTTTTGCAGGGTTTTTTCAAAACAAGGCGTACCTTTCGCTCCTCTTTTATTGCCTGTTTTCTAGCTTTGCGACCCTCTTTGCTCTCATCTTTGGCACGGGGCTGTGTCGATGCTCTTGGCAGGTCACTGCCATTAATCATCTGCATGCGTTCCACCTGCTTAGCTGTGAGACCCTTCTGAGGCAAGATATGCAGCGGAATTCCGGTCTTCTGGGAAATTTTTATGGGTTTGGGCTAAAACAGAGAGCAGGTATGTATTAATGATCCGTAGTTTTCTCTTAAAAAAAACGAACATCGCGCTGCCTTATCGTTATAAAACCCTCAGATTCAGATTTAACACCAATAAACATGGAGCTACTGGAACGAGTCCAGAGGAGGCCACAGAGATGATCCGAGGGCTGGAGCACCTCTGCTATGGAGCCAGGCTGAGAGAGTTGGGGCTGTTCAGCCTGGAGAAGAGAAGGCTCCGGGGGGATCTTATTGCAGCCTCCCAGTACCTAAAGGGGCTACAGGAAAGCTGCACCCGGACTTTTTACAAGAGTGTGTAGTGACAGGACAAGAGGCAATGGATTTAAACTGGAAGAGGGGAGATTTAGATTGGATATAAGAAAGAAATTTTTCACTCTGAGGGTGGTGAGGCAGTGGAACAGGTTGCCCAGAGAAGTTGTGGCTGCCCCATCCCTGGAAGTGTTCAAGGCCAGGTTGGATGAGGCTTTGGGCAACCTGGTGTAGTGGAGGTGTCCCTGCCCATGGCAGGGGGGTTGGAACCAAATGACCTTTAAGGTCCCTTCCAACCCTAACGATTCTATGATTCTATGTAAGTCTCCTCATGCTGTTTTCTTGCCTCGGAAAAACGCACGTGAATACCGAAGTAAGAAATCAAACAGCTGGGAGCAGAATCCAGCCTCCCAGAACATGAAAAAGTTTCTCCCTTTTGTTTAAATATTACTGAAAGAAAAGAACTTAAGTAGGCACTTGATATCCCATTATAAACTCTCGAGAAAAAGGTTTCCTTTCAAAATTTCACACAGCTGGAACATCAAGCTGTGCTTTAATGGTAGGGAATGTCTGGAAGACCAAAGAAATAGAACATGTTTTCATGTATTTCAAGGCCAGGTTGGATGAGGCTTTGGGCAACCTGGTGTAGTGGAGGATTTTCCTGCCCATGGCAGGGGGGTTGGAACCAGATGATCTTTGAGGTCCCTTCCAACCCAAACCATTCTGTGATTATACGATTATATGATTCTATGTTTCAAAACATAGAAGGGAAATTAGAAGCCCGTTTTCAAAGAGAAAAAAACTATGTGGTTGTGAGACACAGATTACACAAAGGCATATCACGGATAACAAGAAAGTAAATTCCTTGCTCTCTACATTTCTGCCCAGCTATTACAGAAATGTTGAACTTACTCAATTTTCCAAGATAAAAAAAACCACATCCAAATCATAGAATCCTTCTTCAGTGGCTAACACCCTCCCCAAACCTCTTTTCTACTCTCTCCTTGCTTTTAAAAGAGATAGTCATTGAGAAAACAATCGCTTTTGTCTCAAGTTTTCCCAGGTCAGGTTTAGTCAGAATAAGCTTAAAATGATTTTACCTTTGATGGCTCCTTAATAAGTGTTGGGTGATTGTATAAGTTTGAATATGTACCTAGGTCACAAAGAAAGAAGAAGAAGAAGAAAAAAAAAAAAAGCAGTGAAGAAAGGCTTGCAAATAAACTAGGTAAATTTATTATGAATTGGACTACTACTTAATTCTTGCAATTTTATATCTTCAAAGACTATGTTATCCACACAAAAGCAGCAGTTTTAAATAGCAAGAATTCC